AGCGGTTGTGCCCGAAACTTCTTGCATGAATGCAAGCAATGATTGGTTTTAAACGAACGCTCGCCAACCAGTCAGTTCGACTCACAACTGCAAAAACTCAGAAGTGAGCGGTTGTGCCCGAAACTTCTGGCAATGACCGGTTGGGAACGAACGCTCGCCAACCAGTCAGGTTGACTCACAACTGCAAAGACTCAGAATGAGCGGCGGTGACCGAAACTTTTTGCCTGCGTGCAAGAAATGATCGAACGTCGTAATTACAATCATACCCGCATGACCGAAATGACCAATGATATCGGCGGGTGCATCGGCTATTAGTTAAATAGTAACATCGTATACAAGTATGTAAATGCACATAAATTAAAGAAGCCAACAAAACTATTAGCGAAAAGAAATACCGTCCTTTTTATTTAAATTACAAAAAGTTTTGCTAATTTAATTTGTATTAATTTGCTTTTTTTTAAGATATTTGAGTTTCTTTTTTAAGAAATAAAATGCTAAATATCATAATATAAAAATAAATATATGTATACATATGTATGTATGTTTTATTTTCATTCTGTACCTCTTTATTTAAAATACGTACATACATATACACATGTTTCCGCATAATTGCAAAAAACACATGCACGCACAAATACATAAATATGTACATACATTCATTTTTTATACGGTCATACTCGGGCAAAACCCGCGCAATACTCGAGACATACTCGGGTAAAACCTGCGCAATACTCGAGTAATACCCGAGTATAGCTCGCGCAATACCCAAACAATACCCGACCAATAACGGCACTATACTCGTTCGATCAAACGCTTATTCTGCAAAGTCTGGTTTGCTACGATCAGGACCCAGTCATCTTAAACGAAGTGACCGAGCCTGAAGTGTTTGAAAGCGAACCAATCAAGGCTGGTGCTTGTTCGTAAAAATAGAAAGATTGGTCATGCAAGTTTGATCATAAGAAAAATGCTGAAAGCGTACCAATCAAGGCTGGTGCTTGTTCGTAAAAATAGAAAGATTGGTCATGCAAGTTCGATCATAAGAAAAATGCTGAGAGTACTCAACTCGTTCGAGCTCGCTTTGCAGCCAAGCAAAGATCTGATTTGATTGAATTTTCAGCAAGGGTGGTCGAACATACTTGTTGCAGTTCTCTGATCTACAGGCCACAACATTTCATATCGAAACACAAAGCGGCTATTTAAGCCTATCAGCAGTATACTGAGGCAGAATTTGTACATTTCTTCGACCTACTAGGTGACCGCTTCATAGCAGCTGGTGACTACAATGCCAAACACACACATTGGGGATCCCGACTCATCAACCCGAAAGGAAGACAACTATATAACGCTATAATAACACCTCGAAAGAAGCTTGACTTTATTTCTCAGGGCTGGCCTACGTATTGGCCCACAGATCCAAAGAAGCAACCAGACTTGATTGATTTTGCTGTTACAAGAAGAGTGCCATAGGCTCAGCTTTGTGTGGAGCACTTAAAACATCTATCGTCGGATCACTCGCCAATCCTTCTTCACCTTTATGACCACCCACAGTGTCTTTAATGTCACTGGCAGCAAAACATTCCACTCCAGAAATCACACCTTATAAACTTAACAAAAGCAATCGTGTTCCCAGGCATATCAAAGATGTGCTACGAAATAAGAGAAGGCTTCGGCGGAAGTGGCAAGCGCACAGATCACCTGAATCAAAGGAGCGGTTAAAAATAGCCAATCATCTACTACTCAAAGTCCTAGAAGATGAGAAACACCGAGCTCAAACAGGAAACGATTCCAATTGTGGAAAGCTAAATCATTCGTATGTCCACCAATTGAGAGTGAATCATCATTACGTACACAAAGAGGAATGTGGACTCGCAGCAACGCAGAGAAGGCAAATCTATTTGGCGCCCATTTGGAAAAAGTTTTCTAACCACATCCAGCAACAAATAGCTTGGTGCACCCACTAACCAATCATCTTGAAGCTTCCACGCCTATCGTATTCCAAGCAAGAGAAGTTACAAGTTTCAAAGCAAAAAATAGCGCCGGGTCACGATTTAATTTCCCCCAAAATGATAATTGAATTGCCGAGCTGTGCAGTATATTTTCCCACCATCATTTTCAACAGCATGATGAAATGGGGTCATCACAATGATCCATAAAGCCGAAAAGGACCAGTCTCAGCCATCATCATATAGACCTATCAGTCTCCTGCCGTGCCTATCGAAGATATTCGAAAAACTACTCCTGAATCGCATACAGCAGCACCTACATACATACCAACAGTGCCATCCCAAATCACCAATTTGGTTTTCGCGAAAAACATGGAACCATTGAACAAGTCCGATCCAACCGATTAACCTCTGAGATACGAAATAAATTTGAAAAACGAGAGTATTGCTCCGCTGTTTTTCTGGATGTCGCCCAAGCCTTTGACCGCGTTTGGCTGGATGGCTTAGTTTTCAAAATCAAAATATTACTTCCTCAGAATATCCATTCTGGAGTCATACCTACAGCAAAGAAGTTTCGCAGTTAGATGCAAAGATTTCCTCTCCGAATACCATCCCAAGGAAACGTGCTTGGACCGACACTGTATATCACATACACATCATATACCGACAAACATTCATTCAACAAATTCGACATTTGCTGACGATACTGCCATCCTAAGTCGCTTCAAGTGCTCAACAAGAGCTACAGAACTCTTATCATCTCACCTCGTGGCCATAGAAGAATGGCTAGCAAACTGGCGCGTAACTTACCTTAGTGTCCAATTGGATAGACGGATTACTTGGCGCAAACACATCGAAGCGAAGAGAGATCAACTGAAACTAAAAGCCATTAATCTACATTGGCTTGTAAACGTCCGTTCACCCCTAAAACTAGAGTACAAAGTACTCTTGTACAATGCAGTTCTCAAACCAATTTGGACTTATGGCTCTGAACTATGGGGAAACGCTTCCATTAGCAATTTAGAGTTAAGCGAGAGAGCTTAATCGAAGATACTGAGAACCATCACTGGGGCACCCAGGTACATACGGAGTGAAAATATCCGGAAATAACTTAAATGTGGGACCTGTTAAAGATGAAATCGCCAAGGTGAAAGCAAAGTACAAAGCTTAAGCTTCGGAATCATCCAAATAGACTTTCGCAGAATTTAACTTGGCAGGCTAGCCATACACGACTTCGGCGAAGAAACCTCCCCACCCAGCAATAACAGTTAGGGCCATAATTCAAATAATTAATTGTAATTAATTAAAGAACTATATTAGAATCAGGGTTCGTAAAATGTGCTCGCAACCCGCTGCAACCCTTAAGAAATGCTGCCGCGGGTTTTTTCGGGTCGCTGCCGACTGAAGCATAGGGTCGGCCGGGTCGTCTGGTAGAGGTCACGGGCAGCAGTATTTCTCGCGGGCCCGAACGGGTTTTGCCCGCATTTTACGAATCCTGATTAGAATAAGATTTGACTACTTATCGTAAGTCTCCGAGAGAGAAGATTCGATAAATAAATAGAACTTATCCAGCGTACTCATATAAGGCACTTGGACTAGGTGATTATACCAACGGAGTTTCCGAAATTTCCTAATAGCGGGGGAGTGGGGTGCATAAAAAAATATAATATTAGTAGGTCTGATAGTCTTTGAGATACTTGCGTTCATATGGACACGCGGACGGTTAGACAGACGGACAGACATGGCTATATCGACTCTTGTTGCCATACTCATAACAAATATTTATAAGTACTTAGGTGGGTCTGCCAGTCCTCTTTCTGTGCTACAAACATTCGCACTAAACTAGTGTATACCTTTTTACAGTTTCGTATGGAATAATTAGTAATCAGATATTTGACTGCGCTTATACAGATATTAGTAATAGTTTACCGTGTAGGTAAATCAACAATTATATATAGAATCAAATTTCGAAATATACTTCTGAATTTTTTGTAATTCAGGATCGGAGTCCGTTATTTTTTTAAAACAAGTGGAATTTACCGACTAAGAAGAAACAGAAAAAAATAGTACAAGGTGTGTTCCAAAGTAAACAGGACTTTAAAAAAACAGAACAAATGGTTTTTTCGGCAAAATCAATTTATTCTGCTTCAATACAGCTTTTTGCACGATCCAAAAGCATGTCGAACGAGTGTTTTAGCTCGTTGGCCGGTATGGCCGCCAGTATGCCGGTACGTCTGCATAACGCTTTCCTTTCATGGGCAAATGCATTTTTCCGAAAAGGTAGAAGTCGCACGTTGCCATATCACGTGAATACGGCGAGTGGTTAATGGTTATAATGTGATTTTTAGTCAAATATTTTTGGTCGTCAGTCAATTTGTGCGAAACAAACCGTGCACACACCTTTCGTAAGCCCAAATGTTCGGTCAAAATGCGATAAATCGATGTTTTGGAGATGTTCAATTCCATTTCCATCAATTTCAATGATGATTTCGGCTGATTTTTGATGAATTCACGCACAGTTTCGATGGAATTTTCGGTGATCACGAATTTTGATTGGCCCACATGTTGATCGTCATTTATGTCCTCACGACCACTTTGAAAACGTTGAAACCACTCGTACACTCTGCTACGGGATAGGCAATCATCGCCATAAACTTGTTCCATCAATTGAAACGTTTCGGTAAAAGTTTTACCAATTTCAAAATAAAATTTAATGTTGGCTCTAGCTCATTTTCACACCGATACCACAAACATACTGACACTTAAAACGCAAAACCTTCACTTCCAATCGATGAAATGTAATGAAATTCTCACTGGACAATCGATAAAGATATCAGATTCTAACGCACCAGTCGACATATAGATAGCGCCACCAGGGGGCGCTAGATTCATAAAGTCCTGTTTGCTTTGGAACGCTCCTTGTACATACAGTGTAGCTAGCATTACTTTCTTGTTTTAATGTTTTGATGACATATCTCTACCTCTACGTATAAAATAACTATAGACCTATAACTAAAACTTTTGTTTATATTTATTTTATTTATTTACCTTTTTCAGATGCAAACACTATTAAGCTACAGCCTTCAATCTGCCTCATTGCTGCCACAGTACAATTACAGCATGAACCCAAGCTACCTAGACGCCTTTAATATGTACCAGAAATTTCAGCCATTGAATTTTCCGGATATTACCAATACTTCTTACAATTCATTAGGCGCACAACCTCACAGTAACATACAAAAAAATCCTTTGATTGTATCAAATATGCACAATATAGCTGCAGCTAAATCAATGCAGTGCGATTTTGGCTTATTTGATGCTAATGGCCAAAAGAATTGCGATACCAACAGTAATAGCGCGATAATACCACAGTCCCTGCTACCGCTCTCTTCTTCCTCTGCGCATAAAAATATGGCAAGCGGATCCAACAACATCCTCTCAGCTTTAGGTCAATATAAACAAATAATGGAGAATCCTCTTTCCTCTTTGTTTAATTATCCTGCTCAAAGCTATGGACATAAAACGCTTAAAACTATGCCAACTAATTCTACGATGACAGGTCAGGGAATAAGTGCAATGCCATACAATACTGGAAACCAGTCCTCATTTATGAAGGAACTCCACACTGTAGAGCCAAATATTGAAACCGAAAATTCTTCCCAACAAGAAAGAAAACCACAGCAAAAAACATGTGATGATTTTAGTAGCATTCACAACATGAGCAGTGCACATGAAATACCACAACGTTTTCCTTTGCATCGTGCTTCTGTAAAACACAATTCACCGGGTGAACAACATTCCACCTCAAAAGGTGTACCTAGCACAAATATGTCAGTTGTTGAAAATTTGACGTCAACAGAAATTTCGACGGTATCGTCCACAACGCTTCAAAATATCAGAGACCCAAAAAATGTTAATAATAATCTACCTGCAAAGTATAGTATCGATGATCAATTCAAAAAAAGTAAAGAAATTAAGATAATTCCGAGAAATTTTAATGTATCAAAAAATCTTAATGAAATATCTCCAGGCATATCGGTAACAGCTGTAGGCACGTTTCCGGAAAAGGCAGCGTTAGACCCATCAATATCACCGACTTTTCAACCACCAGATAAAGATGTTGATTCAAATGTTTTTTCAAAGCACGGCCAAGGAATTTACAATTTCGATCCAACAAATCGGCCATTGGCGTCAATTAACAACGCGCCGGCATCAGAAATAGATTCTCCTTTAGAAAAAACCCAGGCAAAAAAATCGGAATCTTTATCACCTTCTTATTATACAAAAAGTGTTGTCGACTTAATAACAAGTGCTGCAAATTTATCAGCAGAAAACTCAGTATCGCATGATTTGGTTTCTAAAGCAAAGAAGTCTAATGGTCCGAAACATAATATATGCAGTCAACATACTACGCACACTACTGATACTATTTTGGAAGCCAATAAAAAAATAATAATAGGCATTAATTCAAATGGGTAAGTATAAATGTTTTCTTAAATTTCAGATTCATAGGACGTTTTTAATTTTTTTAAGCATTTCTGTTTAGAATGTAGCATAGAGAAGATTGTAAGGATAGTATAGAAGCAACAATAACAAATCTTGGCATCCACATGTGTTTTTTATATACACATACTTACAATATATATATATACTTACTTATAATTTGATATGTCGATTGTAAATGAAATCTATGGCAACAGTACGTTTGTGTTTTTACCATTGAAACTCAAGTTGTAGCTTAATAGAATATTCATTGTTTCTTCCGTGATGTCGTGGTCATAATCATGGCTCCTCGCCTCGCTCATCATCCATGTGTGGGCTAGGTTTTGCGAGTTGGCTGTCTCTTTCTCTCATATGTTTGTAGCTATGGTAGTAGCACAGCTGCCAGTTATTCCTGACGAGCTTGGCTGCCTCGATTTGTTTATCCTGCAGCTTATCGAATTTCTGTGAAAGTGTTTGCAGAACAGCAGCAACGTCTGAGAGGCTGAATTTATTGCTTCTTACCGCTTTGTGATAGCTTGCTGCTCAGTAGCGTTGTTTTGTAATGACATTACATATGCTAAAGTGCTATTTTCCAGCATTTTGTATGCTATCCTTGCCAAATTTTTGAGGTCAGTTTCCTCCCTGAACGGGCGAATAGCCGTTTGAAGCTCAGCCGAGAAAAGGTTCTTGAAAAATTATATTACGATTGTTTTAAAAGCCAACGAAAATGATGACCTTGTGCTTCTATTCAACGATATTTTACAACAGAAATCCAATTTCGGCTTCATACTAAAAAAGTGGCCGGGGTAAGTGCCTTGCCATTGTTGGGGTCCGCGCTGAGCGCTCCCAGTGGCCGAGAGTTGAGCACCGTCTCGATGCTGGCCAGGAGAGTTCCGAGCTCTTCGGCGGTCAGGATGCCTTCCAGACTTGAAACCTGCCTTCCATCTGACACAAGCTCTAAGTAAACCGCTTTCGAGGTAAAATAAACAAAAGTATGACTTGTACGGTGTCTTATCACTGTTGAGGAGCGTTGTGCTAATAATATTGAATTGAGTTCGCTCGGCTATCAGATGAAATGGCTTCAAGATTTTTTTGCACCTTTTGCACCCCCCAGCAATTTCAACGACTAGCTTTCGACAATTTCAAGAACTTGACTGGATTGCCGATCTGCGAGTAAACTACAGCAGACTTACGAGCTTCTAGGGCAGCCGAATTCTTAAGGGAGAATTTACAGGTTCCATGAGGAAGGCTGGCCCTCCAAAATTAGTGGAGCTACGCAACTCGTCCACATTACATCCTGTGAACATGATGTCTGCTACCGGATGTAACTTGATCCAGGGTAAAGTTATTTCTGAGTGAGCCCACAAAACTATCTTTTCGATGGGAAAATTAAGTAAAGGACAGATTTGACGAACAAGATCTGCGAGAAGGTGAGCTGAGGTCAAAAGTAACACTTTCCATCCATCCACCATAAGCTCGCATTGAGGCATCGTCGAACGCATGTATTTGAATAGGTGACTGCGTATCTGTATGGACTCGAATACCGCTGAGGTTCAACAAATTTTCGTTCAACGAGTTCTACACTGTATGAAAATGCTCAGGAATAAATTCGTCCCCATCTAGCTTTTGCAGCCATAAATCTTGCGGCAACATTTTACCCATTGTGATCAGCGAGCAAAGAAGGCCCAGAGGATCGATAAGCCTGACAGCCAGCGTTTTTTTCGTGGCTTATAGTCTCTGAGATCCAGGTGTTCATACGGATGGACGGCCAGACAGACAGACAGGGAGGGAGGTCTGCCTCCTTCTGCCTGTTACATTTTTCACCTCCCGCAAACCTAATATATTCTTGTATATATTATGTACAGAGTATACCAACGCTGCTGGGCAGCAAGCTATCTCGAAGCGGGCAGAAGCAAAAAACATCCACCCTTTCAGACGTTGCTGCAAACCCTTTCACAGAAATTCGATAAGCTACAGGATAAACTACGCAAATCAAAGCAGCCAAGCTCGTCAGGAAGATGGTAACAGGGAGCTGTGCTACCATAGTAAGTTTGGTGACCGCTCTAGCAAGTGTCAGCCAAATTTCCGACACTATCAAAAGCTAAGCTGTAGTTGCTACCGCTGACTCAGTCGGTATACGGTACCATTTGAACGACCACCAAAAATTAATCACATCTGCAGATTGGTCGCGACCATGGACTACACCAAGGGTCGAAACACTCATTATATTTATCTCATTAATCTTAAATCTGTGATGTCAGATAGCCCCACACAAAACAAAATAAAAGCAATTGTATGCTCTCAATCCAACCATAATACAAACCTACGTTAAAGAAGACTTAAAATCTGGGTTGTGTATTGAATTGTCCTTACTGTCTAAAATGCCATAGTCAGTGATGAATTCCCAGCGCAGTTCCATTTGCTAATCAACATTAATCAACAACGGCTCATCATCTTAACAAACATCTAAACAAACCCCACCAGGTAGCTCGCAGGATTCCCTGAGCTCTGGCATATATCAACAAGGTAGTACTCCTCAAACAATCGACGTGGATGTAGTAAATACAGTCGCATTAGATAGTGCATTTGATGGGCACGCAGTCCGCCATTATATTTTAACATTTTGAGCACCTGTACCAGATCGCCCCGACTGATTGGCAAAAACTGCCGCCGGCAAAAGCTGGAGGTGGTTGGTGCGCTATGGCAAGTTGGGCATACTTATAAATACCAAAGTGACCAGAAATTTAATATGCGACATTCTTATTATGTCAAGAACAGATGATCGAGTTCTCAACAGTTTGAAAACAAATGGCAAGGGAAGGGAACTGCCAATAGCAAATTACTTTGGTACGTTCCGAGATCTAGGGCATATAGTACAATATATTCTGTGTATGGACATCTGTACTATTTACATACGTTCATATTTAAATATATGTATTTCTGTAGTATGATAAGCTGTACAATTTGGCAAAGATATTTGCTGGACTTAGCAACTGCACAACATGTAAAGGAGAATACATACATATGTATGAATATGCAAAAAATATGTGTGTATGTACCTACATTATTATAATTATTTCTTCTACGCTTTTATTTTATTTTTTATTTTATTTAGAGCATCAACAATAGTTCTGTCGATTATATAAACATAAAATATAAGCAAGCGTAAGACAAAGCTGTACAACAACGTCTATTAATGCCTCCGTTTTATTTAAGAACTAATTAGAAAAAGTAAGAAGTATAAAGAGAAAGAGAAAAAGAAGGAAGGAAAGAGAGATAGAGAAACAGGGAAAGAGAAAGGTGGAAAGAGAGAGACGAAAAGAAAAAGAGGGAAATCTCCAACCCGGTGGGGGAAATTTTAAATGCCAGTCCGGCAAGCTACGCCCCAACTCACAGCAGTAAGTGGTCAGAGATTTCCCCGAATATAATTATAAAGTATAATTTGGACAGAACAGAGAGAGAGAGAGAGAGTCCTGTCGAAAGTAACTGTGAAAGATCATGACCCGAAAACGATTGTGCAAAGCGTAATCAGTTGTGCATCTTACTTGTTGGTCTACAAGGAACTGAAAAATTAAGGCGACCTAAGATGGCAGAGGAGTCAACCTCACCGATAACCAACTTGTGGAGAAAAACTACTCCAAGAACCGTCCTATGATTTACTAAGGAAGGAAGGTTTATAAGCATCAGTCTACTAGAGTACGATGGCAAGCAGAGATTGGGATCCCAGCTTAAACCACGTACAGCAAAAAGCTGGAATTGCTTCTGAACAGACTCAATACTTTCCTGATGTTTTGTATACTGCGGAGACCAAACGCATGAGCAGTATTCAAGCACAGGGCGTACTAGAGCAGTGTAAAGAAGCTTAGTGGTATAAGGGTCATTAAAATCCTTGGACCAACGTTTAATGAATCCAAGTAATCCCTTGGCCTTATTGACAATACTGGATTTGTGAAGGTTAAAGTTCAATTTGGAATCAAAAAGAACCCCAAGGTCTTCAACAGTCGATATACGTTGCAATGGCACATTGTCAATCGTATACGTCCCTAAATGAGGCAAAGTTCGGTGAAATGTCATGAACTTACATTTAGAGCAATTGAGGTGCATAAGAATATGAGAGTGTGACAAGGTAGCGGGGAGGTCATTAATAAATTATGTAAAAAGTAAGGGGCCAAGATGGCTACCTTGAGGCACATCTGATGATGTTGGGATCTGTCTTTTAGATAAGACGAAATCCAACACAAACAAGAGAGAACGCTACAGTCGAGCAAGCCCGACAGTGTTATACCCTGTACCCGTGTAAACTTCCGTCACTGAGTTATATGCGCTTCTAGCAGCAGCAAAAAGAGGAAGAAGAAGAGCGAACTTGTTGCTGCAGTTGTGGGGGGGGGGGGGGGGGGGGGGGTTGTACTGGCGAGAATCTGTTTTGCTAATAACTTTTCTTAAAATTGACCGAATTGAATAAAATTTAAACAACAGTAGATAATTATATTTATATAATGTGTGCAAAGTTTGGTTTAGGTAGCATTTGAAATGTGGACGCTATTGACGAAATTCTGTAGCGGGGGAAGGGGGGAGAAATTCAAAAAAAAAAATAAACTCGTCCTTTCTCGGACCTAGGAGAATCTGGATGCCAACTTTGGTTATTCTAGTTTTTATAGTTTCTCAGATCCTCGCGTTCATCCAGACGGACGGACAGACGGACGGACATGTCTAGATCGATTTCTCTCGTCATGCTGATCAAGAATATATATACTTTATGGGGTCGGAGATGCTTCCTTCTGTATGTTACATACTTTACACAAACCTAATATACCCTTTTTACCCTACGGGTACAGGGTACAAAAAGCGGAGGGAAATCCTATACGACTTAGCTTAAAGAGCAGAAGATCATGGTTCACAGAGTCAAATGCTTTACTGAAGTCAGTGTAAACGACATCAGTCTGCATTTTTAGAGTAAATGCTTCATTTACCAAGGAAGCAAATTCCAGCAAAT